GATAAAATCATCGGGGTCGTCCTTGCCATCAAAGGTTGGGATTTCAACCTTGAAACTAGCGGAGGACTTCTCTTGGTTGTCCTTTCGTATGGAAGAGGAAGGAGTTTCTGCATGGGCCTCTTCTTCTTGCTCGTCTTCACTTTCCTTGGGTGTCTCCGTCATCTTCAACTTCATTTTAGTGAGTTGAGCCACTTGTTTGGCCAAATACTCAACTTGAGCTTTGAGTTCGGCATTGGATGCAACCAGGTCTTCTTTGGTGATGTTTTTGGAGGTGTGAGACATGTTTTGAACTAGGAAGTGAAAGACTGAAGGTAGGGCAGTAGCTAGGATGAAGGAAATGGGGCGGGAATGTTTTGGACGAAATGAGGATGAAGGAAATGAGAAAGAGGGAAGTGTGTTCTTGGTCCTTTGGGATCTAGGAACAAGAAGCTCCGAAACCAGATGTTATACCCGAACCCGGGGTCTTATCATGTATATAATTTGAGGGTGGGATTACAGAGGAATTGGTAGCAAACTAGAACAGCCTTTAAACTTCAGGAATGCAAGATAGTCGATTGTCACAATTGTGATAATCGATTATTGGTTGTTTGGTTGAACTTCAGGAATGCCAGATAGTCAAAGATGTGTTCACCCGTCTCTAACCATTCGATAAAATCATCAGGGTCATCCTTGCCATCAAAGGTTGGGATTTCAACCTTGAAACTAGCGGAGGACTTCTCTTGGTTGTCCTTTCGTATGGAAAAGGAAGGAGTTTCTGCATGTAACGCCCCGAAACCTGGCCCAAAAGAATTAATTAAATTGTTAGAGCAATTGTTTACGAATTGGGCCCAAAAAGGGGTTGAAATTATAATTTGGATTTTAAGCCCAACTTTTATGTCATCTCGTAGGAAATATTTTTGTGATCGCGTCGGTTCAGACGGTTCGCGAATCGGAGTTATGGAACTCAAGTTATGACCATTTAATCATGTATTTTGGGTCCGAAGCCCAATCCTTTTTGGAATGGGACCATTAATTAAAACCTAAACCTATCTTCTTTCCTTCGGATCTCTGAGAACCCCACAACCGCACGATCTCCTTCTTCTTCCTTCTTCTTCTTTTTCTTCTTCTTTCTTCTTTCTTCTTCTTCGATTTCTTCTTCTTTCTTCTTCGCCGCCCAGCCAATCGCTCGTCGCCGGAAGCCAGAGCTCTTCCTGCCGCCATCACCGCCGTCGCCTTCCCCAGCTTCGCCGCTCCTCGTCGCCGTCCAATTGGAGCCAATCGCCGCTCCACGTCGCCGTCCAATTGGAGCAGCTAGCTGCCGGTCGTCGCCGTCCAACTGGAGCAGCCAGCCGCCGGCGTCGCCGCTCGTCGCCGCCGCCGAGTTGCAGCGCCGCCGCTGCTTCCTTCGCCTCCAGCCGCCGTCGCTCACCGCCGTGAGCCAGCGCCGGTCGCTCATCGCCGCCGCCGATTTGCAGCGCCGCCACGCCAAACGGAGGACGTCGCCAAATGCCGGACGCCGCTGTTTCGCCCTCGCCGGAATCGAGAGCCGCCGTCGCCCGAGCTTCCAGCCGCCGTCGCCCTTTGCACAGCGGCCACCCGCCACCGTCGAGTGCAGCGCCGCCAGTCGCTGCTCATCGCCGTTGAGCTGCCGCTCCGCCACTGTCGCCGGCGTCCGTCACCGTCGTCGCATCCAGCCGCTGCCCCGAGTTGATATCTCCGGTAGATTAACCTCCACGCCGGATTGATTGGTCAATTTTTGTACTTTGACTCGATTTGACCCGTTCGGTTGATTTCGTTGATTTGTCTTCCGTTCGAGCTATCGATTCGATTTCGACGTAATCCAGGTCCGTACTATGAAGTTAATAGCATTCAGAATCGATTTAATGGTTTGGATCGTTATATGTGTTTATGCTATAATTTGGCTAAATTGGTTAATTGAATTAAGTTGATTGTTTGAATTGAATTGTTGAGGATTGTGAATTGGCTGAACAGGTTTGACTTTGACTTGGGTTAGGTCATGTTTGACCTAGGCTTTGACTGGATATTCTGTTGTCGTAGGTTTGACCAAATGGTTAAATCCAAAACTTTAATGAATTAGTTAAGTTAATTAATTAATTCTAATCGGTGATTAAGGTCAATTGGTTTATTGTGTTGAACATAGAAACTGGCCATCGCTCGGGCGGCTGCAGGGCCTGGTCAGTGAGGTTAAGACGTGCGCACGAGGGTCTGCGATCTTGGGTTTGAGGCCATCGCCCGAGGGATCCTACCTCCACCAAATTGAGGCCATCTTCAGTATTACGGATTGAGTCTATCTCCGTCATAGGGAATAAATTTTAAGTGGTTTGACTTTGGTGAAAGTCTAAATTGGTTTGACCGGTGGTCAAAGAATTCATGAGAAACCCGTAACACCTAAATCGTTTTGAAAAGAAAGAAAATAAGTTGACTGTTGGTCAACCGTCTAAAGAACCGAATGTAAAGTTGAATTGATTTTTATTAAAAGGATAAACATATGCACGATCTTAATTGTTGAATTATTATGTTTATTCTTGTGCTACAATGGAGTACCACTCAGCGTCAATGCTGAGCGGATAGCGTTGTTTTCCTTTTTGCTGTCCGTAGGTGAACAGACAGATGAACCTAGAGCCGATCCCAGAGGGCATTGAGGAGGAGATGTACGATGGCGTGGCTGTCTCTTTAATCTGTTGATTATGCTTTATTTAATTAACTTTAATGCTTATTACGTTTTCGGGCAAGATCCCAAGTTGTTTGACTTTAAAAAGGCTTCCGCATTATTTTAAATTACTCCGATGGATTTT